TTTTCCCTGTAATTTCCTTCTTGTTATACAAATTATTCTCATTCTTGGGTTTATTCTTATATTTGGTTTCCTCCTTCTCTGATTTTTTTGTTTCATTGCTCTTGTTTGCTTATTTGTTTCTCTCCAGTAGGAAGACTAATTAGTTGTTTGCTGTGTTGATTACTTCTTGGTTTCTGTGAAAGAGATTCTAAAGTAGGGGGTGTTAGATAAAATCTTATGGCTGTTGATAGGTTTAAATCTGGTAGAAATACAAGATATGATTCATACTATGTAATGGTTATAGGCATTTCTAGGGAATAACAGAAGACTTTTTTATAAAAAATATCTGGAAACTCTGGGTTAATAAAGTTAAGAAGTTTCTTTCCTGAAACAATGTAAAAAGCTTTCCTAAAACCAATGCTAATGTTCACAGTGAGCTCCCAAGAGGGGAAAATACTACAGTGCACTCCCAGAATGAATTTAACCATGTGATGTAGACACATGTCCCACCACAACCGCTTTTGAAGTTGAGGGACAGGTTGAGGAGAGTATCCCCCCTATCAGAAAGAAGAAAGATTTTTGGACCAGAGTCAAATAGGAGATAAAAGTCCAAAGAGAGACCACTGCTTAGAGGTGGCTCACCAGACTTTGATAAGAATTCTTAGAACAGTCAGAGTAAAAGTAAGGATAATGAAGTTCCTTGTTTCCTTCCCTTCTCTCTAAAACCTACACATATGTATACACACAGGAACACCAGAGGCACTTCCTGGAGGCAGTGTGCTACTTTTCCTCTTTTACTCAACTTGTAATGCCACAAGCAATAATGCTAAATGCTGAACATAAAGGATGAATAAAAACGTAATTCTTGATCTTCTGGAGATCTCCATGCAATAACTTTCCTTCTCACCTTAAAGTTCCTGTACTGGCTGGTGCCTGACAAACTCATACCCGCTTCTTAGTTGAGCACTCCCCACAACTACGTTCTTAGGTAATAGTCCTAGGAAAGCAAATTTTGGACCATACCACCCTGACTCCCTCTCCTTTACCATGGGCAAACTGATGTGATTAGAGAAGGTGACCTAACCACAGTATGGTCTGGCCTGCATACTGAGGTGGCCTGACAAGAAAAGCTTTGCCTAAGGAGAAACAAATGGGGACCAGAGACTCCCCATTAGGAACTGAACTGGGTAATACAGACATGGCCAGGCAGTTAATATCAGGAAAAGACACAGATTCATGGAGAGCCCATGTTGACAAAACAAATCAAGTTAATGTGCCATGAATTTCTGCTGCTGACTTGAGATAGATGACAAAAATAACCAGGTTCTAGGACTACTGTGGGATGTCAAGTGACCTTCCATATCAGCCTGCATGACACACAGCTACACTGCTGTCCCTAGAATTCCTGTGAGATTTCTAGCTCTCTTATAGCAACATGTAACTTGGTCTCCCTGCTTCATCCAGAGATAGCCTTTAAAAACACAAGTCAGGTCATACCATTACTTTCTTCAAAACCCTCTAGCATCTTCCCAGCTCACTCAAAGTAAAAGCCAAAGTCCTCCAAATGATTCACAAGACTCTTCATTCTCTGCCTCTAACGACACTGGCCTGTGTCCTTTCAATTAGTATTTCTGTATCCTTTGGGTAAATACCTAGTAGGGCAATTGTGGATCATAGGGTAGTTCTATTTTTAACTTTTTGAGGAACCTCCATACTGTTTGCCACAGTGGCTGTACAAGTTTGCAATTCCCACCAACAATGTAAGAGGGTTCCCTTTCTCTGCATCTTCACCAATGCCTGTTGTTTCCTATGTTGTTATTTAGCCATTCTGACAGGTATGAGGTGATATCTCATTATAGTTTTGATTTCTATTTCCCTGATGATGAGTGATGTTGAGCATCTTTTCATGTGTCTGTCCTCCATCTGTATGCCTATTTTGGAAAAATGTCTATTCATGTCTTCCACTGATTTTTTAACTGGACTATTTGGTTATCGGATGTTGAGTTTGATAAATTCATTATAGATTTTGAATACTAACCCTTTATCAGATACATCATTTGCAAATATCTTCTCCCACCGCATAGGTTGCCTTTTAGTTTTGTTGTTTCCTCTGATGAACAAGTTTTTTTATCTTGATGAAGTCCCAAAAGTTCATTTTTGCTTTTGTTTCCCTTGCCTCAGGAGACATATCTAGTAAGTAGTAGCTATGGCTGATGTCAAAGAGGTTATTGCCTGTGTTGTCCTTTAGGATTTTAATGGTTTCCTGCCTCACATTTAAGTCTTTAATCCATTTTGAATTTATTTTTCTGTATGGTATAAGAAAGTGGTCCAGTTTCATTCTGTTGCATGTTGCTGTCCAGTTTTTCCAACACCATTTGTTGAAGAGACAGTCTTTTTCCCATTGGATATTCTCTCCTGTTTTGTTGAAGATTAATTGACCATATAGTGGTGGGTTCATTTCTGGGTTTTCTATTCTGTTCTATTGATCTATGTGTCTGTTTTTGTGCCAGTACCATACTGTCTTGAGGTGGTAACCTTTTTTGATTCATCATATAGTAAGAAAACAGAAACTGAAAAAAATATAAGAATTTACATTTCTCAAATTATACTCAAAATACAAATCTAAATTTAGTAGGTAAAATAAAATTATTGTTATTAACAATTATGACAACAGCAATATTACCTTTGATTTGAAAACATTTTCAAATTTATTCAATTAATTTAGAATCAATTTCAATATAAATGCATACATTTCATATACCTAAAAGCCATAGAATAACAACCCTAAGCAGATTATAATTGTCAATTATATTCTTCAGCTTCCTCGGGCTTAAATATCTCTGTCCAAAATAGCAGGTAGTATTTCCCCAGGATTGGTATCTTATCCTCAAAAGTTTGGCTCACATACAAGTCAGGACTGGAGAGGAAGGGGAACACTGGCCAAGTCATTTACCTTCTAAACAAAATTAAAAAGGAAGTATGCAGTAGAAGGAAATATGCAGTGGAAGGAAGAAGTATGTTGGAAGGTTTAAAATGGATTTTAAAAATCTGCTATCCAAATGCATGTATAAGATAATCCAAATGAAAAATGTTTGATTTCCATTCACATTATAGGTAGACCTACTTACTCTTCTTTCACTGCAGTCTCTTACCTGCAGTAGAATCCCACTAAAGCACATAATTTCACTCAGAAGAATAAGGGGGGCAGCAGGGCAATTAACAAAGCTAGAAAGAACCCCAAGGAACACAGAGAGAGGACAGTTACCCAAAAGGATGGGAGAGGGAGACAGGCTGGTTCTCCCTTAAATTTGGTGTACATATCACAACATATTAGTTAAAGTCAGCCTGAAAGGGCTTTTCTGGTTGCTGTTTTCCTAGTTCTGGAGGAATATTCCTAGAGTGAGGAAAAAGTGGCTACCCATCCAATGGCCACTTGAACCAACTCAGACAATTTGGAGAGTGATCTAAAAAGCCATAAAAAAAATCGAACTGTGAAGGCTGCCCGGCTGGCTTAGCTGGTTAAGCGTCTGCCTTCAGCTCAGGTCATGATCCCAGGGTCCTGGGATTGAGCCCCACATTGGGCTCCTTGCTCAGTGGTGACTCTGTTTCTCCCTCTCCCTCGGCCCCTCTGACTGTTCACTCTCTCCCTCTCCAATAAATAAATAAAATAAAGATTTGAATTCTTATCTCAGGGTTCCTGCAATTGTGTAAGTAATATCACGAATACACACACACCGAGACACACAGAAAAACACACAGAAAGACACACACACACACACCTCCTAGACTGTACCATTCCACACTGAAATTCTAAGGAACAAATACAACATCATTGCCTCTCCTCCAGTGTGATTTTCCTCAGGGCAGGCAAACTTTCAAGAGTGGTTCAGAATTCCTTATGTTTATAAAGACTAGAATTTGCAGAGACATCTGATGATTTCAATAACAAACAGGTATATTAACTATTTGTGGTTTTCAAAAAAGTGTCACTTATGAATTCTGGGCTTCTGAAAGGAGGAAAAGTTAAGTTTACGGCTCAGAAAGCTTAAACAAGTATTGGTGGCAAGTATTCATAAGGGTTGGCAAAGAGAGGCCAAATTCTGATAGTTTTCCTGACAGTATGGATTACTGTGAATGCTGTATTTAAGAGATTTTCAATGTTTTACACTTCATTTCTGTGATTAAAACAAGTCATGCTTTTCTCTTCTACCTGTCCAAATGAATATGTATACACATACTTTTTCTTTTCTTTCTCCTAATGTAACAAAACTAGTAACTTGAAAGATACCATCTTTATGTATATAACTAAGGGCTTACTTTATTCAATTATTTAAAAGTATCACATAATTTAATACATACTAAAATGTATTATTAAAACAAGGATATGTTATTATATTGAGGAGAAAAATTTATTCTAGATAATTAAACTTATTAATCTTCAAAAACAAAACAAGAGGCTTTTCAAGTAAAATTAGGACAAAAATCACACCGGAGAGTCAAGATTTTTCAAAAAGTATTTTAATAAAATGTTCAAATAAAATTTCAGTTATTTACTAAGCTTAATATTCATATAATTAATTTTTATTTCTTTGCTTAACCTGTAAGAATAATCCTTTGTCAGACATAAAACTGAGCATTTAGTACTATAAAGAATCCATCAGAACATCAAACTCACAGAAAATCTGGTATCCATGTACCATGCAACTACAATGGACTGTAATTTAATCCAAATATCACCACATTATATTTGAAATAATCATTAAACCTAACCATATTTTAGAAAAAATTTTTCAAACATACTATAATTTTATTTTTTAAATAGTATACTTAAACATAGTGTACTCTATGTTTGCTGTTATTTAGTCATAATCTTATTTTTTAACATAAACATGTTAATAAGAGCTGGCATTTAAAGGTAGTATAATCTTACTTTTTTAAAAAACATAAACCTGTGGTAATAAGAGCTGTTAAACATACTATAATTTTATTTTTTAAAAATAAATCTATGGTAAAAGGGCAAATCACTCAATAAATATTGAACTGAGCACTTCAATTCATAAATTGCTCTCTTTAGCACATTCAATTAACCAATTACTACATTTAGCAAGAGATAATAGGATTATAAGCTAAATCCAAACACAGAAAATAAGTCTAACGTAAAAACAATAGAATTTTTGTTTTTCTCTCTTAACTGGTTCCTTGACTGATTCTATATTCTCCTAATATATGGATATTTCAGAAAAAGAAGCTCCCACACAACAAATAACAATTTTCCATTTTTTTCTGTACCTTTTCTCTCCCAAATTCATTCATCCCAGACTGTTTTCATTTGCTTGCTGGCTAATCCTACAAAAAGTCCAGTCAATTTCTCCATCACCATCTCTTTCTGAGCTTCAAATACAGTTAGAAAAACAGAGAAGTTCAAAGCATTTGGAAAAGCAGTGAGGTTCCAAAGTATGCCCCCTGAGATATTTTGTTGAAAAAAATCTACTTCCTAAAAGTCAACAGGTTTAAACACACTCACAGAGGGAGGCAAGGATCTTTGGAAAATGAAAAATCTTTTCATCGCTTCAATCAGCAGATTTAAAATGCTCTTCATCCACAGTGGGGTAACTGTAGCCCTCAATGGTCAGATACTCAAGGGCTTGCTTGATGGCCCGACGCTCAGGCTGTGAAGCTGGGTCTGGAGCTCGTGCAAACTTTTGCCTTCCTGTCGAGGACAGTGATGGATCAAATGCAGAACTTCCTTGTGGATGAGGTCGAGGTGGTAGTAATCGCCATACTTTTGGACCTCATCTATTTTTGATGGGACAACAGGTGCACTGGGCCCAGAGGCCACATGGTGGGCTTTATCCAACATCATATGTGCATTGACAGTTTCCAGAATATGTGTGGTGAACTCATTCATGTCCTCCAGGACAGGGATATTCAAGACTTCAAGGCCCTTTACTTCCTTAAAACATTTGAGGATACCAATCACTTTGACATATACTCCCACTGGAAGAAGCGACATCCTCTGTTTTGCTTCATTTCTTCTGAGCCACTGGCAGACCTCAATAGGCTTGGTGGTCATATCAATACTGTAAAGAATGTATTTGGAAGCCCTCTCTGCCTTTCTGGTTATCCCCACAAGAGAGACCTGGGAAACTTCAATTCCCCTAATCTTGAAGACATTGTCAACCAGGGCAGAGGTGAGCAGCTGGTTTACACAGGTATAATATCCTGAATTCGAACCCTGGTTCTTGGGGCCTTAGTAGCAGGAGCTGCACCGCCCTGAAATGGTTGGTCATTGCTTCCAAAGGCTCCACCCACAGCAGAAACGCTGCCATAGCTCACAAAACCATTCTTACTCATCCTTAAGGAGAGCTCAGAAAGATTAGGAGGTAGGTTTTCGCTCTAGTCAGTGAGTTCCTCGGGTAGGCTCTGACCTCTACCAACGTTTACCACCAGAAGCTTCGATGTGTGGTGACGCAAGCAGACTCACACGACCTGTGGAGCCAATCAGCTACCAGAATGCTGCTGCCTCCAGCCAATCAGGACCTACCAATTTCTAACCTGGTCCCATAATTCTGTGGAGTTGTCTGGTAGTTGCTGGGCTGTATTTTAAAGGCCTGGCGTGTAATTTCAAGACTTTCTTAACATCTTTATTACTAGCTACCCCTCCCCTTCATTCCTAAATGCCAGAATTTTTTCTACACTCACTTCTTAAATATTCATTTATTCACCCATATAATCAACCACTCAACAGAAATTTTCAGAGCACATAAGTGCACTATGGTAAAGAGCTGTAGGTTTACATGGGGAGGAGCACAAAAATGGTTACAGTTCTCAACTCACATCCTTGTTCAAATCATTAAAACCAGAAACATTCTAGAATTACAAGATAGTCATCTTTGAATGATCATCATATTCAAAGGTAAGTCACATCTTACCACTGCCTTTGTAAAGTTTTTTTTAATTACAGAATTATAATTTTTCAGTTATTCTGACAAATGTACTATATAAAAATAAATAGTATGATATATTTCAATTTCTACTTCAATTCAAATGAACTCTAAATTATTTTCAAGGCTCTATCAATAGGGCAGAGAAATACAAACTGTGGGCTCCATTATATATTAGGAAAAACATGAATGAAACCAAAATACCATTTCTGTATACTTCTATGCAGTAATTTGTGAATTTAAGATTACAGCAATTTATATGAGTATCACCCAGAATATTTTCGTATTACACTGAAAACCTATTTTTCCTCATAAAACAATTTATTTTAGTTATAATTAACCTAAAAAGTTTTTTTATGATAATAAAGAACATCAGTTATTGGAATCCACCACTGGCAAGGAACTTCTTTAAAAATCCTTTGTAGTTAGAAAATAGCCTAGGGGCGCCTGGGTGGCTCAGTCAGTTAGTCATCTGCCTTCAGCTCAGGTCAAGATCTTCAGATCCTGGGATCAATCCCTGCGTTGGGCTTCCTGCTCAGCAGGGAGTCTGCTTCTCTCTCTCTCTCCCTCTACCCCTCCCCAGCGCTTGTTTTCTCTCTCTCAAATAAACAAATAAATAAATCTTTAGAAAAAGAGAAAAAGAAAATAGCCTAAATGTGTAGAGCCTTGAGTTTATTAATACTTTCTCTCATTCCTTTTACTGGTTAAAATAATTTAACTTTTGCTATCCCAAATTACAAAAATATGTGAACAGTATATCTAAAACTTATATAATATAAAACTGTATTTCTCAAGCAAAAATGAATATCAGAGCCAATATATTTAATTTGTTTTACAAATAAATATATAATAATTGTTATCTGTGCAAACAAACTGCCAAGTAAATGTGGATTTTTAACTTCTGGATCCATGTATTATATAATAAAAGAGGAATTAAACATCCAAGTAATATTTGTATTCTTAAAATTGCACATTATTCAGAGATCAAATTAACTATATTTTTTAAATGTTTACAACCTCATAATCAGACATTGCTGTTTTATGAGATAATATCAGACTGCTGTTCAGAAAATCTTGAGGTTAAAATGATGTAACTGATTGTATTCCTAACAACTACATTCAGTACAAATTGCAAGAATCATACCAAAATAGTAAGAACCACCTACCTGACAGGATTGCTGGTTAAAGAAACCCTCAGAGATTCAAGGCAGTTAAGAAGTTTCTCATCTGAAATACCAGATCGTAATTCATGAACATATTCTTGTGAAGATAAGGTGCATTCATGTTTGCTGTTTTTCAGCCCTCCCTATAAAAAAAATACCATTTTAGACAAACAACAGGTTTTAAAATAACTTTTAAAATAAATAATGCATAAAATATGTAAATATTTTACTGTAGAAAAATGTGTGCAGAGTGCTATGCACTTAAAAATTCTTGGTCATAGAACTGACGTGGTAAAATCATATTATATAGGGCGCCTGGGTGGCTCAGTTGGTTAAGCAACTGCCTTCGGCTCAGGTCATGATCCTGGAGTCCCGGGATCGAGTCCCACATCGGGCTCCCTGCTCAGCAGGGAGTCTGCTTCTCCCTCTGACCCTCTTCTCTCTCATTCTCTCTCTCTCAAATAAATAAATAAAATCTTTAAAAAATAAATGAATAAATAAAATCATGTTATATATATGTCTCAGCACTCCCCTCATTCTCATTTAAAAGAAAATGACACTGCTGGTGCTCATAGTCTGAATAGACTATGGATTTGAGATTAAGTGTCACTGACAGGGATGCTTAAATTTACAATCCAGGCACTAGCATTAACATTAGCTGGCCCTCCTAAACCCACAGAATGAACATTTACAAATCATCTTATTAATTTTCCTAGTTAATATGCTTATGTTCTATACCACAAAATACAGTGAACAAAATTTAATATAAAACATTATAGATATCCCAAAACTGTTGAAATATATCAGAGAATTAGCCTACCTCAAAAAACAAGTGAAAACAGTTATTAAAATGTAAAACAATACAGTCTCCACTTAGTATGTTAATCAAATTAATCTAAAGTATTCACTAATTCCCAACTATTCCTTCCTATATTACTCCCAAGTTGCAGATTAATCTTAAAAAATCATTAAATGCATTTATCTGATAATGACTAGTTTTTAGCTTAATTTCCAATATACATGGGGTTATTTCTAAAACTCATTATCTCATCACAGCTCCTTAGCATCATCACCTTGCCATAACCTTGTAAGTAGTTTGAAGTTAAGTAAAAAAAGACTGAGAGGAAAACATCATCAATACATTCATTGTACTAGTAACTCAGTTTCACATTCTAGATATACGAATGGGACAGTTATGATTATGTATATTACAAACATATTCCTCAGAATTAAAATTCTAGTTTAAGTCGCATTTTCCAAGTTCATACTAATCACACTTAGTTTCTGTAAGTACCTAAGCTAGAATAAAGAAAGCATTTTTTTTTTCAATTTGGTAGAAGACACATCATTAGAGAATATAGAATTAAAAAAAAAACCCAATGTGTTAATAATGAGAAATCAATTACATAGGGTTTCATGGTGTTTGCCTTTTATCGAGAATGCCTCCTCAATATAGAAATTGACAATCATTCCTAATGTCTGAATTTTTTTAATTCCACTGAATAGTGTTTGAAGTCCAATAAAGTCTTTTTTTTAGATTTTATTTATTTATCTGAGAGAAAGAGACAGACAGACAGCATGAGCAGGGGGAAGGGCAGAGGAGAAGTAGACTGCCCATTGAGCAGGGAGTCAGACATGAGGCTCGACGCCAGGATCCTGGGATCATGACCTGAGCCAAAGGCAGACACATAACCAACTGAGCCACCCAAGCACCCCTGAGGTCTAATAAAGTCTTATATAGGGGACTTTTATTCCCTTATAGTGCTGCAGCACTATCACTATTATAACACTTAAGACATTGGGGCAAAGGTCATTATTTGTGTCTATCACTCTTACAGACTCAGAACTCTATGCTAAGTATCTAACACAGTGATTCAATTCAGTGAGCCTCAAAATAAGTGTGCTATTATTGAATCTGACCATAATAATTACAGAACAAGGAATACAACTTCATAGTTTTAGATCCCATATTTTGTGTAATGCAAACTTGATTTTTTCTTTATTTGTTAGGATATACAGATGTTCAAGACTTCTACTGAATAAATCACGACATAGATGGCAAAGTAAAAACATCACCATGAAATCTTTTCCACATTTCTATAACTTATTTACCCAACTCTTAAGGCTGTAGATCCACAAAGAATGATAGCAAGTAAACATTTATACTATAAAATGTTGCAAGTTTGCAGTCACAGACCACTTTCATTTGACCCTCAAACTCATTTTCTTAATTAATGGATAACAAGGCCCTACCAATCCTTCCCTGGAGGCTTGTACATGAGTTTATTACTATAGAATGACCTTTATATTTGCTGCTTTCTCTGCCTGGAGGATTCTTATTCCTGACATTTCCATCCCTAACTCATCATCTAAGTCTCAGCCCAATAGTCCTCTCCCTACCACATTCATCATCACATCATTTTAAATCTCATTTATAGTACTGGCTCGATGTAACCTTATATTGTTTAGTACTTGTTTACTGTGTCTTCCTCATTAAAACATAAGCTCTATGAGGCAGAAATCTGCCAACCTTGTTCACCACTATATCTCCAGATCTTAACACAATGCTTGGGACACAGTAAGTATTCAAAACATATTTCTTTTTTTCTTTTTTTAAATAGGCTCCATGCTGGGCACTTTAACATGGGGCTTAAACTCACAACCCTGAAATCAAGACCTCAGCTTAACCATCTGAGACATCCAGGTGCCCCTCAAAACATCTTTCTTTAATGAATGGATAGGGAGATGAATGAATGGTGAATAAATAAATGGGTGAATGTCTGATGAGTTTAAACATGCTGAAGCTCCAAAACTCAGTTTAGTTTTGCTTCACAATATTACACTTCTGAGATGTTCCATTACCATATATTCAGAAATGCTAGTGTAGAATAGTTAAATTGAGACCGCGTACAGCATCTTGTCTATTCATGTCTTCTAAGAATTTTTAACTGGATTATTTGTTTTTTGGGTGTTGAGCTTTTTTTAAGTTCTTTATTTGGATACTAACCTCTTATCAGTTATGTCATATTTGGATACTAACCCCTTATCAGATATGTCATTTCGAAATACCTTCTCACATTCAATAGGTTGCATTTTATTCTTTTTGTTATTTCTTTTGCTATGCAAAAGCTTTTTGTTTTGATGCAGTCCCAAAGTTTATTTTTGCTTTTCTTTCCCTTGCCACAGGAGATAGATCTAGAAAGAAGATTCTACAGCCAATGTCAAAGAGGTTACTGCCTGTCTTCTCTTCTAGGATTTTGATGATTTCAGGTCTCACAATTAGGGCTTTAATCCATTTTGAATTATATTTGTATATGGTATAAGAAAGTGGTCCAGTTTCATTCTCTTGCAAGTTGTTGTCCAGTTTCCTAAACACCATTTCTTGAAGACACTGTCTTATTCTGCTTGAACAGTCTTTCTTGCTTGCTCCAACATTGTCTATAGTTGTGGGTTCATTTCTGAGTTTTCTGTTGTTTCATTGATGTGTCCATTTTTATGACAATACCATACTATTTTCATCACTACAATTTTGTAATACAATTTAAAGTGGGGAACTGTGATGCCTTCACAACTTTTCTTTCTCAAGGCTGCTTTAACTATGCAGGGTCTTTTGTGGTTCCATGAGAATTTTAGAATTCTTTGTTCTAGCTCTATGAAAAACGCTGTTGGTATTTTGACAGGGATTTCAGTAAATATATACATTCTTTTGGGTAATAGACATTTTAACTGTCCTTCCATTTCTTTGTGTCATTGACAATTTCTTTGGGTTTTTTGTTTGTTTTTTACAGCAAGCAGCAGTGGAGGGGCAGACGGAGGGAGAGAAGCTTAAGCAGGCTCCATGTCCAGAACAGAGCCTAATGTAGGGCTTGATCTCATGACCCTAAGATCATGACCTGACTTGAAATCAACAGTACAACACTTAATCGACTGAACCACCAACGCACCCCTCATCTTCAATTTCTTTCATCAGTGTTTTATACTTTTCAGAATACAGGTCACTCAATTTTTTAGCTAGGCTTATTACTAGGTTATGTTTTTGGTGGAATTGTAAATGAAATTGATTCCTTATTTTCTCTTTCTACTGATTCATTATTGGAATACGGTAATGCCACAGATTTCTGTATGTTAATTTTGTATCCAGTGATTTAACTGAATTGTTGTATCAGATTCAGCAGTTATTTGGCAATATCTTTACATTCTTCTATAGAGAGTATCATGTCATCTACAAATAGTGAAACTTTTACTTCTTCCTTGATGATTCAAATGCCTTTATTTCTTTTTCTTGTCTGACTGCTCAGGCTAGAACTTCCAGTACTATGTTAAATAACAGTGGTGAGAATGGACATTCCGTCTTGTTCCGGACCACAAAGGAAAACTCTCACTTTTTCCCCAGTGAGGATGACATTAGCTGTGGGTTTTTCATATATGGCCTTTATTATGTTGAGGTATGTGCCCTCTAAACCTCCTTTGTTGAGGGTTTTTATCATAAATGAATGTTGTATTTTGTCAAATCCTTTTTCTGCATCTGCTGAAGTAATCATATTATCCTTATCCTTTCTTTTATTAATGTGGCATATCACGCTTATTGATTTGCAAAGATTAAACCACACTTACAACACAAGACTTAATCCAAGTTGATCACAGTGAATGATTTTGTAATGTACTGTTGATTTCAGTTTGCTAGAATTTCACTGAGAATTTTTTCATCCATGTTCATTGGGATATTGGCCTGTAGTTCTCCTTTTTAGTGAAGTCTCCACCAGCTAGTAGTATTAGGGTAATGCTGGCCACTTAGAATGAATTTGGAAGTTTTCCTTCCGTTTCTATTTTCTTGAATAGTCTGAAAAGAATAGGTATTAACTCTTCTTTAAATGTTGAGTGTAATTCAGCTGTGAAGCCATCTGGCCCTGGACTTTTATTTTTTGGAAAATTTTTGATTGCTGATTCAATTTCTTTGCTGGTTATCGGTCTGTTCAAGTTTTCCATTTCTTTCTGCTTCAGTTTCAGTAGTTTATATGCTTCTAGGAATTAATCCATTTCTTCCACGTTGTCCAATTTGTTGGCATGCAATTTTTCATAATTTTCTCTTATAATTGTTTGTCTTTCTGTGGTGTTGGTTGTTATTTATCCTCTCTCCTTTGTG